AATTGAAATGGTGTCTTTTTGCACAGGCTAACCTTTTATATCATTGTAAATTTTAAAAGTTCTGGGGACAAAAGAAAGATATCTGGAGTGGGAACCACATAGTGAATTGAAGGCCAGCCTAAACTACATGATGAAACCCTATCTCAAGAAAAACAAAGCTAGGGGCTGGGAAGGTGGTGCTGTGGCTGAAATGGTAGAGTGCTAGCCTTTTGCTGAAGAGCTGAGGGACAGCGCCCAGGCCCAGAGTTCAGGCCCCACGACTGGACCCAAAAAAAAAAAAAAAAAAGAAAAGAAAAACAAAGCTAGGCACTGGTAGGTCACACTTTCAATCCCAGCTAGTCAGTAGGCTGAGGTCTGAGGCTCAAGGTTCAAAGCCAGCCCAGGCAGACAAATCCCAGCAAAAAACTGGGAGTGCTTAGAACAGATCATGTTAAATGAGGAAGGCCAAGTTCAGAGAGACAAATGGTGTAAGTTTTCTCTCATATGCAGAAGCTAGATCTAAAATATACTGGGATGTGATAAATTATACATCACTCTAGGCATTCACACACAGAGACCAAAGAAGGATACTCTGAGGAGAGGAACAAAAAGGTTTAATGCCTACATGCATCTGATCATATAAAATAACATTTATCAAAATGAACTCTAGAAAATGGAAACAAAAAATCTGGGAGTGGGGATGTGGCTCAAGTGATGGTTTTTTCAGGTCCCAATACTGGCACACAAACAAGCAATATATAAATTGTTCACAGATTGTTAACAGATATATCACTGCATGTAAGAAAGTATAAAGATTAAAAATCAAAAACAGCCAAGTAAAGTAGTACATACCTATAATTCCAGTTACTCAAGCAACTGAAGCAGGATCAAGGATGGAGGCAATACTTATGATCTTATCTCAGGGGTGGGTGGGGGTATTAAAAACAGACCAGAAAGAAACTCAAGAAATAGTTATTTTTCTTTCAATGAGTGGGAAATCAAGTGAGGGAGAATAGGGTGTGGGTCAAAAAAGGACTTCAACTAACTGTTATGTCTTGCTTAAAAAATAGGTAGGAAGAAAATTTGATAAAATTGATGAAGTTATTAATTCTGAGCAGTGGGAATATGGGCATTCATGTTGTTCTTTCTGCCTTTAAGTCTCTTATACTAAAATCAAAACTGATGATTTGGAATGTGGCTTAGTGGTAGAGTGCTTGCCTAGCATGCATGAAGTCCTGGGTTCAATTCTGCAATGCCATATATACAGAAAAAGCCAGAAGTGGCACTGTGTCTCCACTGGTAGAGTGCTAGCCTTTAGCAAAAACTCAGGGACAGTGCCTGGGCCCTGAGTTTAAGCCCCAGGACTGGCACAAACAAACAAACAAAACAACAAAAAACTTATAAAATCAAAACTGAAACTAGTTGGAAGCAGCTGAGGCAGTGCACACACTGCTTTAAGGAAGCTGGGACCAACGCAGGCAGACAGGCAGGCCTCGGCTAAACAACCTGAGGCTGAACTGCTGAGGGGCTCAAAGAACAGCTTAAGATAGAAATGCTAGAAAGGTTGCCATCAAGACCACAGCAAGTCAGCTCCTCTTAGACCCACAGGGGTTTCCTCCGATAATCACTGTTGCCTAATTCTACAATCCTTGTGGGGGCATGGATAATTCTGAACATCTTGCTATGGCCCAAACGCCTGCATTCTGGAAAAGTGGGTTCACACTGCCTCTTAGTGGCCATAGTCATCACTGCAGCCATACCAAGACAAAACATTTCTTAGCTTTTGAAGGCATCCTTCATCATCACCACCAAAAATAAAAATAAAAAAAGGACAGGGGAACGGGAAACTAGTAGTTAAATGATGTAATAGGAATAACAATTTAAAAAATTAGGGGCTGGGAAGTTGGCTCAGTGGTAGAGTGTTTGCCTCCCATGCATAAGGCCCTGGGTTTGATTCCTCAGCACCACATAAGCAGAAAAAAAGCCAGAAGTGGTGCTGTGTCTCAAGTGGTAGGGCGCGAGCCTTGAGCTGAAGAGTGGAGGGACAGAGCCCAGGCCCAGAGTTCAGGCCCCACGACCAACAAAAACATAAAACAAGAAATTTAAAAAATTATAGCGCTTTTCATTAAATTCATTAGACATTGATAACTTTTATTGATTCAAATATTGTATTTGGTAGACCAAAAAATAGTTATGTTCCAGAAAGTAGTAACCGTGAGAATGGACAAGATTTACAAGCACAAGGGAATAGGGTGTCCAGACGGAGCACAAAATAGAAAATCTGAGTAGGAATTTTTTTTAAAAATCAAAGGATAGGGGCTGGGAAGGTGGCTCAGTGGTAGAGCGCTTGCCTTGCATGCCTGAGGCCCTGGGTTTGATTCCTCAGCACCACATAAGCAAAAAGAAAAAAGCCGGAAGTGGCGCTGTGGCTCAAGTGGTAGAGCACTAGCCTTGAGCTGAAGAGCTGACCAACAGTGCCCAGGCCCAGAGTTCAGGCCTCATGACAGGACCCCCCCAAAAAAAATCAAAGGATAGACCTAAAGACCTTGGATAAGCCAGGCACTGTGGCTCATGCCTGTAATCCTAGGTATTCAGGAGACTGAGATCTGAGGATCACAGTTCAAAGCCAGCCCTGGCAGGAAAGTCTGTGAGACTCTTATCTCCAATTAACCATGAGAAAATAAGAAGTGGCATTGTAGCTCAAGTGGTAGAGTGCTAGCCTTGAGCAAAAGAGCTCAGGGACAGGGCCCAGGCCTTGAGTTCAAGCCCCATGATTGATGGGAGGAGGGATAATATGGGGGGAGGACAGGACGGGGGGGGGGCAGGAAGAGCCTGAACTTCAGTCTGGAAGATCCTGGGCCCCAGATCTAACTTACTGTGAGGTGGTATGCCTGTTATTTTGCCTCACTTACCTTGTTTCTACATAAAACCAGCTCCTCTGATTGGAGTACTGTCACAGTGGTCAGTACTATAACTGAAGCCAGAGGGTCTGACTGAACTCAAAGTCCCAACTGCTATGACTTGAGGGATGCAACAATCTCACAAATCTACTGTGAGATTCAGAGAATTAAAGCCTGTGCAGAACTTGGAAGAGCACCAGGCCAAAATTCAGCAAGAGCTGTTATTGGCTTTATACAGGTAAAGTAGCTAAGATAAAATTACTAGGTTAGTGAGTGCCCTTTCATCTTTCCCGGGAACAGGGCTCTGGCCAAAATGCTTGTGTTTTCTTTTTTCTTTTCTTTTTTTTTTTTGTCGGTAGTGGGGCTTGAACTCTGGGCCTGGGCACTGTCCCTCAGCTCTTCAGCTCAAGATGAGCGCTCTATCACTTGAGCTACAGCGCCACTTCCGGTTTTCTGGTGATTTATTGGCGATAGGAGTCTCACGGTTTTTCCTGCCCGGGCTGGCTTTGAACCTCGATCCTCAGATCTCAGCCTCCTGAGTAGCCAGAATTACAGGCGTGAGCCACCAGCACCCGGCCTAATGCTTGTGTTTTCATAACAGTAGAAAGGGGTTCTCTCCAGGGGCTAGGAAGGTGACTCAGTAGTAGTGTTTGCCTTGCATGCATGAGGCCCTGGGTTCGAGTCCTCAGCATTACATAAACAGAAAAAGCTGGAAGTGGTGCTGTGGCTCAAGTGGTAGAGCGCTAGCCTTGAGCTGAAGAGCTGAGGGACAGTGCCCAGTCCCAGAGTTCAGGCACCACAACTAACAAAAAAAGAATAAAAGGAAGAAAGAAAGAAAAAAACAAAGGGGTTATCTTCAAATAAGCCTGGACAACACTCCACTTTACCCAGGTCTATGAGTCCTTGTACCCTCCTTCATCCACAGATCTCCTTGTCACATAATCTTGAGTCCTTTTTAACCCAGTTTCCAACTCATATATTTGAGGAAGAAACTAACAGGCTTTCCTGGAGTTAGAGTTCTTATGACTGCCCAGAAGAGGATGCGGTGTACCAGAATGCACCTGGTCCACTATCATCATTGGTAAAAATCAGATTACCGCCCCCGCCCCCCCCACCATGCGCCGCCCCACCCCCACCCCAGCTGCTGAGGTTAGGCCCAGGGTTGGCCTGGTAGCTATACCCATTCTCATATCATCACGGAGACGCCTGTTTCCAAAGGTTACTCTAGGAACAAGCTTCATGTTAGTATTTAACCATCTTGTTCCCAGTGAGGCAGCTGTAGCCACAGAAGAACTTCTGTGCAGAGGCAACAGATTGGGAAGGACAATCCACATATTAGGGTGACTGTGCTGACACCTGACTGCTACCACCTGATCTTTCAGAATAGCCATAGGAGAATGTGGAAGACAAGAGATCAGGACCAAGTAAGTCGTTAGGGCAGGACTAAAGTTAAGGAAAAGAAACATACCATGATTTTATACAAAAACATTTTATTTGCTGTTTATATTTCTTCTCCCCCATCCCCACCCCTGACCCAGAACCCAGCCAGCTCCTACGATTTCCTGCTGTTTGGTTCTTGAATGTGGAGTTCTGGAGACACAGAAGTTATGAAAGGTGGAGAGCTTCCTCTCCCACCAGTTGTAGAAGTTGAAAGAAACTTTCTTGCCTGGCTAAAGCTACAGCAGCTTTTCAGGGTAGTCCCTCAAATCAGAGGATCATCCTTGCTGCATGCATATGAGAAAAAGATACATAACCCATGATTCAGAGGCTCAGAAGCTCCCCCAAACATGTGACTCTCCAAGGCCAAAGCTCCTGGTACTCCATACTTCTATCCCAACAGGTCATAGCTGAACTAATCTCTAACCTGGAGATGGAACTCAGCAGCAAGGGAGGTGTAGGGTTTGTGTATGTGTGTGTGTGTGTGTGTGTGTGTGTGTGTGTGTGTGTGCTCGCTATAGATCTGGGAACTCAGCAGCAAGGGAGGTGTAGGGTTTGTGTGTGTATGTGTGTGTGTGTGTGTGCGCGCGCGCACGTGTGCGCACGCGCTATAGATCTGGGTCCTGGTGTAGGGTGTGTGTGTGTGTGTGTGCGCGCGCGCGCACGTGTGCGCACGCGCTATAGATCTGGGTCCTAATCAATGAACAAGAAGTAGGAACTGAGATGGGTAATGGGGAGAATTTGGGAAAACAGAGGATGGGTTTGGGTAGAGTCATCTGTTAACAGAGGTCACAGCCACGATCACTTCCAACATCACAACCACCAGGAAGAGGAAGAAGGGAGTCCTGTCCTCATTTAGACAACAAACAATACAAAAAAGCACTTTTGGTCTGAGAGTACCAGAAAGGGCACCCTTTGGCACAGAAAAGAGCAGCCAGCTCTTCTCTGCCAGACATGGCCACCACAGTCCACTTTGTACCATCATCCCTGTCTCTGCTATTTCCACCCACCACAAGCTCTGCTGGAGACTGATGCCACCAGCTGGTGGGGTAGAAATGAAGATACAAGTTCTAGGGCCCTGCTGCAGCTAGTAGGAGGTCTACCAGTGATATTCAGCTCTTTCCTATAGTCCTGCTGCTTGAGCCACACATACAGAACTATCCCAAAGAGGGCACATGGCCCACAGGTTCTCTGGAAGATGAGAACCCAGGGAAGACCCTCAGGGGAGGAAGAAGAGCCTCAGGATGGTGTGTGTTCCTCTTTCCTGTCCCAGGTCCTGCTACTAAGGTTCAGAAGTCTGAGTCTGCATCCATGAGCTCTGCCTCCATTAGGTTGGTGCGGGAGTGGATAGGGCCCAGCCCCTGGTGGCGGCCCTGAGCCCAGGCCGTTGGAGCTGGAGCACTGGGGAGGAATGGATCCTGATAGGAACTGGGCTCTGGGCAGAAGGGGTTGGAGACCAGGGTCCAGGCTCCCTGTCGGCAGGATTCCCCAGCTCCCCAAGCCCCTGCTGCCACCAGACACTTCTGCCGTGGCAGCTGAGGCAGCCGAGGAACGGCACTGGTGGCAGGAGCAGGGGTCGGGGCAGGAAGCTCAGAAGCTGCCACCAGGGGACACACCTCTTTCTTCCTCTTCCTCCGCTTCTTCTTCCGGCCCAAGCGCTTCTCCAGTTCTGGGGAGATCTCTGCCTCAACCAGCCACAGGTTGGCTTGTTCTTCTGGGGGCACTGACACAAAAGCACACAGCTGAGACCTGAGCTCCTTTGCCACCATTCTTCCCTCCCCAGGATTTTTATTCTTTTATTCTTTTGGTGCCAGTACTGGGACTTGAACTCAGGGCCTAGACAGTATCCCTGAGCTTTTTTTTTTTTTTTGGTCAGTCGTGGAGCTTGAACTCTGGGCTTGGGCGCTGTCTGAGCTCTTCAGCTCAAGGTGAGCGCTCTACTACTTGAGCAAAAGCACCATTCTGATTTTTTAGTGGTTTATTGGAGGTAAGAGTCTCACAGACTTTCCTATCTGGGCTTGCTTTGAACCGTGATCCTCAGATCTCAGCCTCCTGAGTACCTAGGATTACATTGGCGCCCAGCTCAGACCTTTTATACATTTTGTTGTTGTTGTTGGTCATGGGGCCTGAACTCTGGCCTGGGCAGTGTCCCTCAGCTCTTCAGCTCAAGGCTAGCGCTCTGCCACCTTAGCCACAGTGACACTTCCACTGCTTATGTGGTGCTGAGGAATCAAACCCAGGGCCTCATGCATGCAAGGCAAGCATTCTACCACTGAACCACCTTCCCAGCCCCCAGAACTTTTATTGTGGAGCCTGGACTCCACTCTATAGACAACCTGGGCCTCAGCCCCACACTTCAGGGCCTCTAGGTCCTTTCCTTCCTCCTCCACCTCTAGCAGCCCCAGCACTCCAGTGCCAGGAACTGTAGTCTCTGGGTTCTCCACTTTTCTACAGAAACCTGAACCCTCATACCTGGAGTTGCCACAGGAGTAACAGATACATCTTGGGGCAGTATGGCTCCTCTCCGAGCTACCATTTTGGTAACATGCTGGGCCCAGGCAGAGGAAACGTCAGCTGAAGGCTCATTGAGGTCAAACGCCAAACCCGCTTAGAGAATGATAAGAAAGAAAAAAAGTAGTGACTTCCCAGCCCCTTCTGGCACATCCTCCTTTCTGTAGCCCTGTTCATCTTCCTAAGCTAGTCCTTGGTAGAGAGAGCTCAGCCAGTAACCAGTGATCTCTACGCTTCGGAATCTGAGGTGATCAGCCTCTGTTCCCTAAAAAGCCTAACTAGAGACCAGAAATTAAGCCTGGGATCATGACTCCTTCTGACCCTCAAAAAACAATTGGAGAGGCAGAGAATGGAGAGAGAACAGAATCCTCATAGATCTAAAGTAACAGCATGCAGACCCACGGATAGAAACAAGAGTGCCCTCCCCCCCCCCTCCCAGCAAGAGGAGGTGGGGGCCTGGAGAAGAAAGTGTGTGAGTGCACAGAGGCAGTGCTTTATTCCTCCCAGTCAGCCAAGGAGGCCATCCCCTGGGAGGGAATGAGCTGTACACCATTGAGGACCAAGCTTGGGCCTGGGGCTAGGACTGGGGCTGAGACTCACCCACTGGCCCATCATGGGAGACCGTGTGCATGCTGAAGGAGAGCTCCTGGCCTGGGTTCTGCAGCAGCTCCCGCCGCTTTGAGAAGGCCTTGGCAATCATCTTGCTCTTCTTGATCCGTTTGGGCTCATCGTCACTTTGCCCGGTCAACCTGAGAGCAGGAAATATCGGAATCGGAAGTAGAGGAGCAGCTATGTCTCATCAACTCTGGTGCAAAATGTAGGATTCCATTCCCTCCTGGACTGGGAGCTCAATGGACTGTCTAGCAAAGTCTCTCTCTTTTTTTTTTTGGTCAGGAAGTGGGGCCTGAACTCTGGGCCTGGGCGCTGTCCCTCAGCTCTTCAGCTCAAGGCTAGCGCTCTACCACTTGAGCCACAGTGCCACTTCCGGCTTTTTTTTCGAACCCAGGGCCTCATGCATGCAAAGCAAGCACTCTACCACTGAGCTACCTTCCCAGCCCTGGCAAAGTCTCTTGAGGACTCTGAGGAGGAGAGGTCTTCCCTACAAAGACATGAACGTAGAGTGCAGAGTTCCCGTATGCTTAATTCTCAAGCATTTGCTCTCAGATGCTCCCAGCTGGTTCAGCATTTGGCCTAGAACCAGTCCTCCAAAGGGCAGAAACCATCACCAGGGGGCAATGGTGAATCACCAAGAAGACAGCCTCTGGCGGCTCCATGCAGTGCTCTGGCAAACCCAGCCTTAAGTAGCTGAGTTGTTGAAGGTAAGACTAGACAAAACTTAGAGGCAGCCACCTGAGGCTGACAGTAAGATGAGAGGGACAGGACAAGTTGGCTGCTGGCCCCACCTGCACCAGGTGCGCCTCCAGATGAGCAGTGTGGCCTTGGTCCAGACCCAGGTGCTCATGGCAATGCCGGTTCCAAACATGGCAAACAGGTTGATCTTCTCCACCAAGAGGCTGGGACGATTTTTGATCTCACAATCAGGGATGGGTTTTTTGGTGGGCAGCCCAATGGTCACATTAGCCTGGCACCTATGTTGAGGGATGGTAGACAGGAGGTTTTCTAAGTCCAATGGGAAGGTACCACACTGGTAATCCAAAGACTAGAAGGAACTGGGCCCCCTGTGTAATTTTCATGGGGCTCTTTGGTTTTCTTTTTGTTGCTGTTGTTGATTTCTTTTGGTAGTAGGAATCAAACCCAGGGTTTATAAACTATAGCCCCAGCCCCTCCCAGAACTAACCTGGGGAGTTTGGTTATGTGTATGCCAGTCCTGGGGCTTAAACTCAGGGCCTGGGTGTTGTCTCTGAGGTTTTGTGCTGAAGGCTAGCATTCTACCACTTGAGCACAACTCCATTTCTGGCTTCTTCTTCTTCTTCTTTTTTTTTTTTTTGGGTAGGTAATTGGAGATATGGACTTTCTTGCCTGGGCTGGCTTTGAATTGTGATCCTCAGATCTCAGCCTCCTGAATAGCTAGGATTATAGGTGTGAGCCACCGATGCCTGACTTTCACTTGGAGAGCTTTTATGAGCCTCACTTCAGACAATGACATTAAACCTAGGGGACAGGGACCCAGCATCGCTGTGGGTTAAAGCTTCCCAGAGTGGAATGAGCTTTAAGCAGTCAGTGCAAGTGTGTGTGTGGGGGGGGGGGCACGTGCACACACCAGTACAAGAGCTTGAACTCAGGACCTAGGCACTATCACTAGCATTCTATCACTTGAGCCATACCTCCACTTCTGGCTTTAATTGGAGATAAGAGTTTTATGGACTTTCCTGCCCAGGCTGGCTTCAAACTATGATCCTCAAATCTCAGCATTCTGAGTAGCTAGTCCTAGGAACCCTGGATTAGTTAGGATTATTTAAACTGCTATTCTTGGTTGTAGACACTGCTTTTCTTCCAGCAGTTGAGATGTCTTTTTCTCCTATTCATCCTCAGAACACAGAAAAGCACAGGCAAAAATAGCAAATCTAAGCATAGATATATCATATACAAGCATATATATCATAAAGAGATAACGATTTCTGTGTAGGAATCCAGAGAGTTCTATGGAAAGTGCACAGAATTAGAGACAGCACAACTTCTGTGGCTGGCCTAAAGTCAGAGGAGCCAAAGCATGATCTGTCTTCATAAGGGGAGACTTGAACAGAGATTCAGAGGCTGTTTACCACATTTGGCAAGGTACAAAGCTGCTGATATCTTAGACTAGACATTATGAACATCATCTAAGGCAGGGACCCAGCCAACCTCTGGGACGCAGCAGAGATGGTGTTGCCTTCCAGCTCCCTCCCCTGCCACCTCCAAGCCCCAGCCCCCTCACTCACAACACGTAGTCCCGGAAGCTGCGCTCCCATTCGGCCTGGTTAAAAAAGTCATAGAAGTGGCAGCTGAAGGTGATAAGCACAAAGCCGAAGGCCAGGAAGCCAAAAATACCTGTGGAGGTCAGGGCAGGATGGGACATTACCAATCACAGATACTCTAGCAGCAGTGGGGAGAAAGGCATCTGTCCTTGGGGTGAGCCCAGCCAGGCAGAAGGGGCAGAAGGGCCTGGAGGCAACCACAGGTGGCCCATGTGGGAGGAGATGGGCCTGTGCAAGCAGTGTCCACATGAACCTGGATTCTTCACTTGAGAAGGTCCTTTGCTTCTGAGCTGCCACCCCCCCACACTTACACCTTGTCCTTTTCCCATGGGTGCTAACTTGTCTGATTTTCTGCAGCCTGGGCCTGTCCTGGAGTCCCAATACCATACGATATTGGGCTGGCCAGGACCTCAAACTAGAGTCCTGTGGGTCCACTCACCCAGACGCAGCATGGTCTCATTGATCTTGCTGGCAGCCTTCTCGCTCAGCAGCCCAGGGTGGTTGCTCTTGATGGAGAACAAAGTCATGACTCCTGAACAGAAGGGGACCTCAGACATTAGCAGGGGTGAGGCCACTCTCCTGGGAGGGATGGATACGGGGAGCAGGGTCCCATGGCCCTGGAGTCCTGGGTCTGACTATATCTGTGCTGACTTGAGGAGGACTAGAGACACTGGAGAATGAGACAGCAGCTGGTGGCAAAGTATCATGGGCTCAGGCAACTGCAACAGAGTCCAAAGAAAGGAGAAAGACAGAGAGAGGGAGAGGGGAAAAAAGGGAGAGAAGGTGGGGAAAGAGGAAGGGGAAAGAGAAAGAGAAAGCTGGGCATCATCTGGGTGCCTCTAAGTAAGACAGCCAGGTCAAAGCTGTTCTGATAGAAAAATCCTAAAAAGGATCATTGGAAATAGCACTGTCCAACAGGCATATCTCAAAATTTTAGTAGTCATATTAAAAAACAAAATTAATTTCAACGTATTTTTATAAACCTAACATATCTGAAATATAATCATTCCAACATTAAAAAAAAAGAAATCAACCCTTTGGGGGTTGGGGTTGGAAGCATGGCTCACTTGATAAGAGTGCTAGCCAATAAGCAAAAGCATCAGGTACCAAGTTTGAGTCTTAGTTTTGGACAAAAAAAAAAAAGAAAAAGGGGCTGGGAAGGTGGCTCAGTGGTAGAGCGCTTGCCTTGCATGCATGAGGCCCTGGGTTCGATTCCTCAGCACCACATAAGCAAAAAGAAAAAA